GGTTTTTGTCACATTTCTAACTCTTCTCTTGTTTCACGTTGCTTTTGTGTCTTGCATTGTCAGGAGGTATCGGAGCAGGCCTGATTTACGTGCCGGCTGTGATAACTACAGGATTTTATTTTGAAAGATGGCGAGCACTGGCCACCGGGATCGCCGTCTGCGGATCCGGAATCGGCGCTTTCTTGCTTGCGCCGATCTCAGATATACTGGTGAAGCAATTCGGTTGGAGGGGCGCATTGCTCTTCCAAGCAGGTAAAACTAACTAAAATCACTGATACCGTGAGATAATCAGTCTCTGATTATTTGTCGAAGAATTCTTATTTTTATTAAACGTAATATTTTATTCAATTTATTCATTTATAATTTATATCGCTATTATTCTTTAATATCGGAGGACCTCGCGTAATATTCTTTTCCAGCTAGACTCTGTAATTTTCTTTTTAAATTCAGACGAATTTTCGTAATAATACGATAATAAATTATTGCTCGCGAATCGAATTCTCCTTTTTGTCAACAATTCTTATCTCGATTTTTATTCCTATCGAATACTCTTTTTGTTTCGTTTCCGTTCTTATTAAACTCTTCGAACTCAACGACTGTATTGATTCGGTGATTTTCAATCTGTCAATAAGATAGTGGCCGGTGGTATCGCACGCATTGAAGTGTTTGAGAAACGTGGCGAGAAACGTTCCATTGTTTTCACATTCGAGACTCTCTTGCCGAACAAACAGTGGAAACTTTAGGATTGTATTTCCACAGATTGCTGTTCAAACAACCAGCGATTGTCTGTTGTTTTCAATAAAATTTTAACGCTCGCTCGCAACGAGTTCCCTTATTTTCTCTGGCGACAGGAAACTGAAACACCATTCCCAATCCACGACTCGATCGAATGTGTCTGAAATGGGGGGAAAGATTCAACGAGCGAATTTATTTCAGAGATTTACGGACCTTCGATAAAATTCTATACTCGCCATATTAAAAGAGAGAAAGATTCAGTTTCAGAATTAAAGTAAATTGGAGCTCTCAGTGATATTTTGCTGACTGAATGAAATTTTTTACAATTGAAGGCTAATCGAGAGAGATTTTAATCTAATTCGCTTGGTACTAAAAAGGAAAACGATTGACTGCTTGAAATGTCGTGCAGGGATGCTTTTGAATTGCACCGTTTTCGGCGCCATGTTCCGTCCATTGAAACCAACGCGGATCAAGGTGAAATCTACGCCGGAAAACGCCGGTTTGGAAGTAAAGAGCAGCCTGATGGCAAGAGGTGTGTCCACAGCGTCGCTGCATTGCGTGCAGCCAGAAAGAAGCGGCTTCTTCGGGACTAATAACAATACCGATTACCCAACGGCTGCCGAACTGTTTGGAAGCAATCCCAACATAGTAAAGTAATAATTAAATCTCTTATTTATTTCAATCCTCGAGTAGCTCACCAAAAAAAAAGTGACGAGTTACTAAAATTCCGGATCCTATTCGATCTTATTTTCCGTGACATTAAGTGGAAAAAAAATCGACTGATTCAATTTTGATACTGTTCTGAAGATTTTAGAATTAACATTGGTTGACGTGTGGTATTTTCGACCTTGGAAATAAGTGAAATAAGAATAAAAAAAAAAAAAAAAAATCAAATGCAAAACTCAGAATTCTGTTGGAATTAGCAAAACAGTAGGAAATTTATTAATTTAAATTGATGTTATTTCGCCGACATCGTCATTTAAAAGTCTTAAAAGCCTTGCTTGCTTTCGCTGGGGGGGAAGAAAACTCTATGCTCCATTCAAGGGTATAAGAAAGAATTGCCAGAAATTCGAAGTGAACGGCCCGAGAGATAGAAATCGGTTAACCACGTTAAGGAGATTTCGTTTCCAGAGAGTTACAGTCTCTTATTTAAGACGCGAAGCGTGCTGCAAGCTGCACGATAGACTCACTAGAGAGGGTAGTTTTTGAAATCGAGACTAAAAACGTAAACGAGTCGCACGTAGGTCGGTAAACTCGCAAAGATATATATACGAGAAGCGTCGAGCTACGAAAAGAGAAGGGATCAGACTTCGTTCCAAATGGATGTTGATTCGAAGAAACCTTTTCTTGCAGCGTCTCGAAATCGTTGCATTCCCTTCACAAGGCTCACGTGGAGCTGCGAACACTGGAAAGGAAGTTGAGCAGCTCGGAGAAGCGGCTGTCCGTCCCGATCTATCCCGAGTTGGACATGAACATGGAGGAGAAGATCGTCGAGGAGGAGAACAATCTCCTCGGTGGAGATGTGGAGAGACTGAATGGCAAAGTGCCCACGGTGAGTGTGAGACACTTATCCTATATTATCCTAATTGTTAAAGAGGTCAGAAGGCTGTACTGTTTTATGTTATTATCGTTCGAGTAAATTACAGGAGGAATACAGAGTTAGATTCTCGTGCAAAAATTGAAACAGTGAAAAGAAAAAAAATAATGGCTACTATTTTATATTGTTGTTTGCCTTGGATCGAGTAAATGATCAGACGAGATAAATAATTATTTATCGTTATACAGAGTTGAAACATTTATTCCTTTGTTATTCGAGTTTTTAAAGAGATCAGGAACGTTGTAGTTCCACGTTCGGGATTGAATGAAGCGATCGGGGAAAATGAACGTTAGGTACGTAAATTATTACAATTTGTATACCACCACAATTAATGAATTGTAACTTTATTTTGAGATCAAATTTCCTCCCCGATATTTTACAATAAATTAAACTGCATGAAACAACAAAAGACCTGACCTCTTCGATCACTTCGATGTCGTCACGCAATTTGAAAAGAGAAAATTTTCGACCGAACGTCGTCAACATTTTTTCTGCGAAATTTGGGGATTCGAAAGTAGCCTGATAAATGGACAAAGTCTCTGTATGTACATTACATTAGAATTTATTCTCGTTGCGAAAATGTAATTTTGATGGAACGAATGATAAATGAATAATATCCGTGCAATAGTAAATTCCAATGTGATGGTGTAAATTATTCGCAGACTAAAATATATTTCGATGCCTTGTAAACGGGCGGCAAATCTAGCAAATTTTAATTAATTCGAATACTTGTTAAACGAACGAATTCTGAAAGATCCAGAAAGCGAATTTCATCCGTTTAAAATGATGTAAATCATAGAAGGATCAACAACTGGTTACGCTAGGATGTTCGTAGAAATACGTGCATTTTGCGGGCACGGTGAACCGTTTATGGCGATTCCTGTGCCAGCAGGATTCATTTAGCCGCAATAACAGCACGTATGTACGTACGTACATACGTCCTGGTTAAGTAAGTAGTGGGAACTGTTGGCAGATTCGCAGACACACGATCAGCGGTAGACGATTGCGCGCGGACTCGGACTGCAGCCAGAAATCGTTGAAGGTGGGCAACAGGCGGAATCCATTCAGCAAAGATCCACAGAGGCCGTTCTACAGGGACGATATCTTTTATGGCGGCTCTCTGAACAGACTGCCGCATTATAAGTCACAGGTAAAAAAAAAAAAAAAAAAAAA